CAGTATGCGAAATGTCACAACGACATTGTAATGCTTTGGAGATCAAATATTTTTTATTCATTATAAAGTATGCCTTATTTCATTTTCTTGACTAGTATTTCAGATATTACCCTTTACGCCAACGCTTCAGTTCCGGGAAAGCTTTGAACAATGCGTTTTAGAAAGCGACCTGAAAAGGTTGGCCATCATGTGCCAGTTGTATTGCCGACTTGGCGAGAACAATCAAGCACTCACCCTTGGATACTCCAAGGTGAGGCTTAGAGATCTGAAGCTGGATTCTGCTAGGACTCTTTTGCTCACTATTGCTCCATGCAACGAGGTGAGTGATAGTCAATTACGTAATTTGAACCTGGAATATATCAGAAATGCGATGATTTGTATTATCTATTTATTTTAAAGCGAATAATAAGAAACCGAACAGATGTAACAAATATATTGTTTGTATGCCTCATCCAATTCGTTACTCAAAATGAGTGCCAGTCATCTGTTGCACAGTTCTGGATTACAATTCTAGTTCTGTGCCGTTATGCAAATCGGAACACGAATAATTTGACTATTAAGCAGCATACTGTGATGCAAGGACTAAAAATTTGAACATTTCAGTTAGGGAATAGTTCATAGTTGCCGTGAAGGTTTTGCTGGTTCAATAAAACCTGACCTCGATGACAACCATAGGCAAAATTACCTAACTTTGGCTTGAGAGAAAAGGAAAGGAAACTTTAATGGCTGTTGACAGTCCACGCACCTTCGTTATGGACACATTCATTTTTAATGGGGAGCTCATTTGCATTTATACGCCATCAGCTATGAGTGCCATATTTAAGATAGTCGACAACAGTTATGTGTCATTCATAGTGTGTAGTCCCTTGTTTCCTTTCCACAGAGTGGTAATCGTTCACCTACTTCAAATGGAACTAACGCATGTGATCTGATCGGCGTTCGATCCTGGGACAAACCATTTCTGAGTCAAACGCTGTTCCGCGTGAGCATTCTCTATTTGCGTCTTGAAGTAATGCAATGAGAGGTATACTAAAACGTGAGTTTACGATATCTCATTCAGATAAGCTTATTACACTGCGCTATCGGTACGAAAACCGAAAAAGTTTGAACAAAGCACTAGACCGCAGAGTATGCTGATCACCCTGGTTCTACGCAAGAGCAATGATTCATGCAAATCTTAATTTTGTTTATTTCACTTGCATGTTTCGCGTACAACTGACTGTAATTTAATGACAATATAACCCCAATGTTCTGGGGGACCTCTCGATACCACCGCTGAAGATATCACATTAATAATAATGACACCGGATTGAAACGGCGAAAATGCACGGTGTAAAGAAAGAGAAATGAATTTCTCATTTTATACCAGCAGATCAGTAGCACCGCCTCCTTGTTTCTAAACATTGCAATAGCGCTGTTGGCGTAAAGTGAGAAACAGATGATTCTTTCTTTACAATGTGCATTTTCGCCGTTTCAATCCGGTGTCATCATTTTTAATCTAACAGTGATTTACTTTGGTAACGCAGCATCAGCGTCCCAGTGGTTGACAACTGTCAACTACCAACGTACAGAGTCACAAAGAAGGACAAAATACAATGCTGTGTTTTCTCCCATGGTAGGCAGGAAACCTTGTCATGAATCTCTGAAGAGTCAGTTCAAACGAGACTCTGACAGCCAGAACAGGCAACGACCTTACTTCTTCTAAAACAGTTTTGCCTACGAAAAAAACACTTTGCTTTCAAATCAAGGCAGAACGGTTCAGGAGGTTTGTTTAATCTCAAAGGAACACGTTACAAAATCATTTTATTCTGCCATCTACTCTAATAACGAATATATGACTAATAAGCAAGAAGAACGGCAGATCTGAACAGCACTAAAGAGGTGGTTTAACTGTGGTTAAAGAGGTAATAAACTCTTTACTCATTTTGATCCTCAAGGCTGAAGAAATGCAACGTGATAGTACTACTGAAAGTCTCACCTTAATCTCATCGGTTGAGCAATATACAACAGGGATCTAAATCCTTTGTTCACCTCGATTATTACTTGAGAATCAATCACTTGGTTAGACACTAAACATCCCATCTGAAATTTTATTCGCTCTCTCAATTGCCCTCTTGCTACATGGTCATAATAGCGGTTGCTCTTGACAAACGTTCATCGATGTCCAACGATTCAAATCATACTGGATCTATCCTGAGATGGTATATCGCACAAGCATATGTACCATACGAAGATGCTTTGTAACTCTTTGCGAGATATGTTTATTGAAAGTTAATCCACCGTCATCTGACACGTCGGTACCTTGTAAAGAACAAATGTGAGTAAACGTTTTAAGGGCCATCCCGCTGGATCGTCACCTTAGATTCTTATAACATGAAAGTCTTACGTATGACAAAGTATTATGCCTGCACATTTAATCGCTGTCAATTTTCAGGAACCAAAAGAAACTGCAGAGGGCCTTGGAAAAATACAGTTTTCATTGGTGTTCTCGCCGTCCACGCAGAGAATCATGATCACTGTATTAAAGGCCAAAAACATTCGCAGTATCAACAGCCACGTGCCTTTAAGTAAGATTTTACGTGTTCATCGTGTTATTAAAATGCGTAGTTAAAATTTTAAAATTATGTTGTGGAATATGAGGCAAATGTTTAGAATAAGCTTCGAAACGATTATTCATAACCAAAAATATCATTAATTGATAAAGTATTTTATTTGCGTTGGTAGGGACATTGAACACGGTTTAATAATATGCAACACAAAACATAATATGGTCGATCCGTTAATTTTTCGATCCATATCCCACGAATCATCTTCATCGTAGTAGGTTGCTAGAATTTCAGTGGTTTTTCTTGTGCTGGCAGCGGTTGGTCAGTTTTGAGCCTTCCACAACTTCTGAAACTCTACCAACTTCCTGTGTTGAAAAAAACTCATGAGACATGAGAAGAAACTTCAATAGCTGTCAATTATCCGATTAAACATATTATATTTTTTGTGTACTTATCAACAATATTACATATCAATATTATTTATCAGCAATATTATAATCACATATCAATATGCTACTGTGAAACAATATTCATCGATGGTCTGATACACATTGCTGATATTTCACCATTTCACTCGGTTTTGCACGGATTGGGTGCCATCAGTTATGCTTCCTTTCATCCGCCTTCAGATTCAGTACACTGAAAGTTGTGAAATTTTGCAGCTGATCAAGAACCAGTATTCGTAGCCTTCGATTAAAGAGACGGTTATTTGAACATTGTCCTTTCAGAGTTGAACATAAACTATACCCCTCCCCCCTCGTTATCAAGAACTCAAGCCGCTCATGGACCGGTTATTAATGTTACCAGCGTTTAGCATTTAGGATAGTGTTCACTAATGCCAATTAAAATCTTACGTTTTCTAAAATAATTTATCGCAGTGCAATCCACAGAATTGAGGAAAAGCCTCAGTTCATAGACTGCACATACAGAAAAAGTAGGAACTCGCATCTAATAGCATGCTGAAAAATATGCTTCTTCACACCGGAGTGGAAATTACAAAAAGGTACGGCAAAAGGTAGTTTCCTTAGCTATGGAGAACAAATCTTGAACCTCAAAAGAGTGAAGGAGAGAAATAGCAATTGGAAATGCCAATTAAAAAGATCGTATGCTTGCTTATGCCTCTGAAACTAATTTACTTATCAAAAGCAAGAAACCGTGGTAGAAATGTCAGACAGATAGATAGGGTATAGTCCATATTATTTTCCAACGATGGTACGGTGAAATGTTATTAGGATATATTTTGTTTCGAATGGAAAATGGCGACATGTAAGAACAATCGCGATAGTGGATGGATTATAGAAGGAAATGAAGAAAAAACATTACCAATAACATCTGGAACATCCAAGCTGGATTTTTTGTCGTGCACTGTGCTGGCTTGGACTGGGGCATGGATTATCAAAACCATGTGCGGCGGTATGACACTTTTAAAAGGATTATTATCCAAGAACATGTTAACATAACATTAACAGGTTATAAAAAACAAATAATTTAGTTGATGATTCAGAAAGCACATGTTTACATATGAGCAGATTTCATATTAGTGAATAAAGCTTCTGATGTTTGATTTTATGGTTTAGGGCATAAGGCAAAATTTGTATTAAACTCACTTGGATCACCTAGACCGGTCGGTAGTCTGCAACCACATGCTTCTGCCACAAAACTCACGTCATTCCTGGCGAGTTCAGACCGTTTTCGTCCCAGTGCAGCCGTCCGTCTCCCGATATAATTTTCCTCCTGCCCTATTGGGCGGCTAAATTTAACCAGTGAGGGTAGCAGGCGACGATCAGCAGCCTCCGTGAGCTGAGCTGCAACTGACTCCCAGCCACTCTTTGTATTTTCGGCGACAACTTCCTTCACACCCGTCCGGTGCCTTTCTCAAGACAAGGGACGAAGATCATGTGACAGTAAGAATGACGATGCTCACGTGGTTTCATCAAAGTGATGCGGTGGTCTTTAATCTTACTCATCAAAGAGATATGCAATCGCCCTACAAATTGTTTTTAACTTGTTGAGTTGTGAGTGATTCTCTGATCGTTCACAATTGGCTTCATTTTTTAATGATCATTCACTGAAACGTTTAATCCTAATCGGTCAGCATCACGTAATTTTTTTATTGATGTCTGAAATTAGGTCCTATGCTTCACCGACCCGCGTGCCTAGCAATTCAGAGAATTAGTTATATACTTGAACTAATTAAAACAGGATGTGAAGTAGTTGCATAGCTGCTCATGATATCACTAGAGACTGGGGTGGTAAACGTGGTATATCCATAATATATCAGTATTGGGGTTAGCTATAATAATCATATAGCTTGTATAAAAATATGCAAAATGAGGACATTTCTAGGAAGCAGATGCGTGACATAAATTTAAGAATGTGTTTGTACATCCATCTTCTCTCATTCTCACATTTTGTCAAAATGCAGTTGTTACGCGTACCCATCAAATTGGCTTTCAACAATTCACGTTCATTTGCCCGTTACGGGACACGACATCGAATAAACTGATGAATCTTACGATAGGAAGTAAGGGATCTAAATATGCTTCTATGAGTCTTTGGTTACTCCTTTTCTTTGAGAGTCCCTACGTTTTCCAAGAAGTCCGTGATAATTTTGAGAAGAGATCAGCAAATGAACGTTTAGTGGTCAGGGGTCAATGTAACTGCTCATATTATTAAGACAGTTCCGTCTAGGTCAAAATTTATTCGTTTACAAGAAAGATTTGTCATACTCTTTAATATTCTAATAATAAAAAACGAAAATGAAATATGAAATCATTATGAAATCATTTCATCGTATCGTCCATCTCCTGCACACACGATGACGTCACAGATATTGGTCCAGTTTTGCTGCGTCAACGAGATAAATGTTTTTCACTTCTACAACCAAAGGCGGTTTTTG